GGGGGGGGGGGTCATTACTGACTGATGGAGCCAGGATGGTGCAATGGTTTGAGCAACTCTGGAGACCAGGGTTCGAATCCCTGCCCGCCCATGAAAACCCATTGGGTGACGGGGTGAATCATGCTCTCTCAGCCTCAGAGAGAGGCACTGGCAAAAAACCCTCTGAGCAAACCTTGCAAGAAAACCTCATGATAGTCTTGCCTTAGCATTGCCATAAGTTGGAAACAATGTGAAGGTACACAACAATAACAACATGATTGATACCCTTCCAGTCCCAGTCTCGGATGGTACATTCCCTACCCCCATGGTGTCTCTACATCCTAATCTCTGCCCTCCAAAGTCTCTCATCCCTCCTAAGATGGCATTTTTGTTCCTCTGTGTGCCAGTCCCAAAAGTACTCTGCAGTTAGCAGAAGAATGGACCCTGGAAGGCCAGATTCCGCCATAGGACCTGAGGTTCCCAGGCAGTGCTTTCAGGTGAATTTACATCAAGAGATGCCCTCCACTATGAGAAAGTGTGGCCTGACATTTGTTTAATTGAAACTTGTCCTATTTATAACATCTAACAGGTAAGGGACGATGGGTCACATACCCACCAATTGTCCCAATTTGGCAGCGACCGTTGAGATTAAATCATCTCTCATCCCATTTTCTCAGCTGCTCTCAAAATGTCCCAGTTTTTCTCTCCTCCTCCCACTTTCCTCCTTTCTGCTCACCTTACTTCAGTTACTGTAAACTGGGTTCAAAGCGCAAAAGCAGTGTGCACTCAATTGGCCGGGGAGAGAAGACTAGAGGCATGGGATCTCGTCCTTCCCAGTTGACTCAGGCAAAAGCAAACTGCTGCGCCTCTTCTAGCCTGACTGTTCTTTCTCATTAGTAACTTTTTTCCATCTTGCCCACACTCTGATGTTACTTGGCTATATATGTCCCAGTCTCTGAAATGTTGGAGGATCTGGGACCTGGCCGCAAAGAAAATACCTCCCTGTACAAAGAAGTGGTCCCATCCACCCTAACTGATGCAGTTTTTGTTGTGGTTGTTGTTGCTGCTGCTGCTGTTGTTGTTAACCACCCTTGAGTCGATCCCAACTCATTTTGATC